TCAGAAACAACATACAGGGTTGTATGAGTCAGAACTGATTTGATGGCACTTAACATCAACAACATGCTATGCTGAAGCTGATGGGAGAAGCGCTGCTACTGGAGTCACCTGGGGCAAAAGCCACCATGCCGGGAAACAAGATGACTGATAGGGGTCAGGGCCTACTGGATCCACCCTTCCAGAAGCCCAAGGCCATATGTACATAACTGCAGAGACAGTCCATGGTTGGAGAAGAGAAGATTAAACTTGGGTATTTTAATCAGGGTTCTGTGTTTATCAGACTGCACTATGGGTACTGAGCATTTCGCTTACCTACTGTAGTAAAATAGACTGCCTTATGGGATGGAAATTAATATGATGATCAGGATTATAAGTGGTTACAGGCTGAGCTGCTAACCAGAAGGTCAGCAGTTCGAATCTACCAGTCACTTCCACAGGAGAAAGATAAGACTTTCTGCTCCTGTCAGGATTTAATGCTTTGGAAAACCTATATGGGGTCATTATGAATCAGAATTGACTTAGCAGCACTTTATAAGAACAACATCATGAATATACAGAGCTTGTGAACCTGCCTTTACTCTATACTTGATTGGATATGCTAAAAGAGGAGTTAGGAACAGGAAGGAGCAGGCTTTTTATTAAGCCAGTAGCCTGTGTATCCAGTAAGGGGCTTAGGTGGAAACCTGAGCCCCACTCATAACTGCTAAGAGAACAGGAGATTTAATTGGGAAAGAAAGACCTGCAGAAAAAGAATGGCTGGCTGGCTTTTTTGAATTTTGAGCAAGCCACTTGCTATTGGCTCTATCGAGGCAGGAAAAGTCTGTGCCCATCAGAGAAAACTCTGTTCTCAGATGAAAAATTAAAGGAAGCCAGCAAGAAGATAACCTGGTATGCTTGCTGGTATGACCACCTGGGCACAATTAATGAGTGGGAGTTGGGGACTACGCAGCAATGAAAAGACAAGTTGTGAGGAAGAGGAAGGTTGACTGGTTTGAACTTTAGAGACTTGTGTGAACTTCTGAGCCTATACACACTGGCCTAGCCCATGGGGGTTCGAGCTGAGAGAGAATGAAGGGGCCAGCTGGTCTGAAGTGCAAACAGGAATATGTGGACTCCCAGGGTTGTAGTTGGCACCCTTTTGACTTAGCAAGGATGGCTAGGGCTGAATTAGAACCCAATAGAACAAAGAGATGTTTGATACTGTGAACTGGTGTAAATTGCTGTACTTTCATGACTTGCTGTGGACTGGAATTTGGTGTGAATGCAGATGCCCAAAATTCCAACTGAAGATTTCTTCATATTAAGGAACATGCTTGTCTCCTGAAAATACTGGGTTGATGTGTTAGGTACTGTCAAGTTGGTTCCAACCCTATGTATAACAGAACAAAACACTGGCTGGTCCTGTGCTATCCTCACAATTGCTGCTATACTTAAGCCTATTGCAGCGCCAGTGTGGCAATCAATCTCATTGGGATCTTCCTCTTTTTTGCTGAACCCTCCACTTTACCAAGCATGATGTCATTCTCCAGGCACTGATCCCTCCTGATAATATGTCTGAAGTATGAGAGATGAAGTTTGACCATCTTGTTTTCTAAGGAGCATTACTTTGTACTTCTTCCAACACAGACTTGTTTGTTCTTTTGGCAGTCCATGGAATCTTTAATATTCTTTTCGAACACCATAACTCAAATGCTTCAATTCTTCCTTATTCATTGTATAACTTTCACATGCATATGAGGCTTCATATATGAAAACACCATGGTTTTTTGGGTCAGGTATACTTTAGTCCTCAAACTGACATCTTGCTCTTAAACACTTCAAAGAGGTCTTGTGTAGTAGATTTGCCTAATGCAATATGTTGTTTGATTTCTTGACTGCTGCTTTCATGAGTTGATGGTGGATTGAAGCAAAATGAAGTCTTTGACAACCTCAGTCTTTTCTTGATTTATCATGATGTTATTTATTGGGCCAGTGGTGAGGGTTTTTGTTTGCTTTATATTGAGGTGCAACCCATACTTAAGGCTGCAGTCTTTGATCCTCATCAGTGTTTTAAGTCTTCTTTGCTTTCAGCAGCAAGGTTGTATCATCTGCATATCGCAGGTTGTTAATGAGTCTTCCTCCAATCCTGATTCATCATTTTTTTTTCCATATAATCCAACTTCTTGGATTATTTGCTCAGTATGTTGCTGTTAAGTGCCGTAGAGTCGATTCCGACAAATAGCAACCTTGTATAGGGTTTCCAAGGAGCAGCTAGCTAGTGAGCTTGAACCACAGACCTTGAAGTTCAAATGACTTTGCATTCTGAAGCATTAGCCCACAGCACCACACCAGGACTCCATTTGCTCAGCATACAGAATGACTAAGTATGGTGAAAGAGTACAAACCCTAGCACACACATTTCCTGATTTTAAACCATTCATTGTTCCCTTGTTCTGTTTGAACGAATGAATCAAGATCCTCTTGATCTGTGCACAGTTCCTCATGAGCACAATTAAGTGTCTGGAATACTCATTCTTTGCAATGTTGTCCATAGTTTGTCATGATCCACACAGTCAAAAGCCTGGGTTGATAAGGACTAGCAATTTATAAAATGGATCTCTAAAATGGGGGAGATAAAGGCATGAAGTGCTGGCTTACAAGTGTTTGTGGGTACGCTTACAGCTAAAATTATTGTACGGAAAGTTAACCCATCATTAACTTAATAAAAGGGACAATTCCTAGAAGAGCTAGTGGATTACGAGCAGTGCAGTGAATTATTTAATATCTCTTTTAGCCACAGTCTGTAAACTCTTACGAAACAACTTTTTCCTGATGGGTTAGCGAAGGCAGGGAAATATACTGATGGATTCTATGATTTAGATGTGAGAGATCAGGTGGTTAACAGGGCTAATTGTGTTTGTTTAGTTTTACCATCCTGCTGAGTATGCAATGAGCTATCTCAGAAGCTGAAGGGGGATCTCACTGCCATTAAAGAAGAAGAGTCAGTAGTAGAGTGTATCATTTAGACCCTGAGATCCCTGAGCATTGAACCTCCTCATCCTAGGGACAGAAAGCTGTGAAACCAGGAGAGTAGCAGAAGATCATCATCAGCAGAACCAAGCTCCAAAGCCCAAGACCAAGCAAGCAGTGGGCTTCCCAGACCATGGAGCAAGTAAAGCTGAGTGATTTGGGGCAAGAAGGTTGCTAGTAGATGGTGTGCCTCCAGGCACTTAAGTGGGGAAGCTAGGTTTGTTGACTCATGGAGCTAGAGTAGACTTCCTTCAGGCTAAGGTTTATAGTGGAATGGGATGCCCTATGGGCCTTTACCAGCAGTCCTAAAAGCTTTGTAATATTGCCTAAGCCAAGGGAGGCACGCCTATGGGCACTGATGAGGAGAGGCTGGAAGAATTTGCCCTGAGCATTTCTGAACTCTGAATTGTAATCTTCTAACTTTCTAATGAACCCTATCATTGTGAGTATGTGTCTGAGTTCTGTGTGGGCATAGCCATGAGTTCTTGAACCCGGCTTGAGTAGACTGCTATGGGAAGGGAGGTTGGTATCATTTTTTAAATAGCCTCTGAGTCAGAGGTGACTCAGTGGCACACAATAACAAAAACAAATAGTTAAGTCAACATCAGTATAATCAACATATGGGAAAGTGGCCCTGTAGGATAAGCACTGGACCACAAGATCAGGGGCTCAAGCTCACCAGCTGCAACTTGGAAACCCTATACAGGGTCACTAGGCGTCAGAACTGTCTCGATGACACTTAATGACAATAACAAAATACCCTAGACCCTGTACCCTGAACCTCAAAGCCTGGAAGCCATCAATCTTATTTCAAGCTCTACAGTTTTGCTTTTTCCAAAATGCCTTATAAGTGGAATAATACAGAATGTAGTAAGTACCCTTTTGGATCTGGGTTCTTCTTCTTAGCATGCTTTTGAGCTTTATCTATGTTGTTTCATTAAATGTTGTACTACCAGTTGTGTCTTAATTCACTAGTTGATGCACATTTAGTTTGGGGTAATTATTTGTATTACTGCTTTGCTTTCTGTGTGTGTGTGTGTGTTTGGGGGGGTGGAAGCCGTGACTTCATCCTCCCACTATCTAAATCTTTCTGTCTCCATGAGCCCTTCCACCAGCAATGTCTTGAAGCCCCAACTACATCAGGGAAGTGTTCTTTTTGCATCTGAAGGGTGTTCTTGTTAGTGACCTTCTGTTGATTCTAAAGGAGCAGCTAATGAGTTTGAACCTCCGACCTTGTGGTTAGCAGTCCAGTGCTTATTCTACAATGTCACAGTGGGACCCCTTAAATCTCAACACTATCCTGATCCCATTTCCTAGATTGTGCTGCCTTATATTTACTTTCCTGTTTTGCATATTGGGGCCCCATGTTCCATGAGTCTGGGTAGACAAGATCCTTAGAAATCACGCACAAAACCTCGTGTTAGCTCCTCATCTCCAGGTTTAATTACAAACCAACAACTTTTCAATCACCTGACAGCTTGTTAAAAATGCAGAATCTCGGGCCCCACCCCAGAGCACCCAAATCAAAGTCTATTTTAACAAGATCCCTAAGTGAGTCAGATGCATATTAATATGAGAGAACTTCTACTCGTATTCCAAGTTTGCAACTAAAAATAAATGCAACCTTTTTTCGTTAAGATTTGACCCTTTCTCCCGTCTTTTTCTTTCTCATTCTGGAGCTAAGTTATTTTGTAGTTCAGTAAAAAAACTCAAGTTTGGTTTGTGAAGTCGTGAGCCGGCATCTTCAGAGGATGTTAAGAGCAAAGTGGACAAGGTAGGAGGAAGGGGGAAAATGGGAGAAAGCATAGAGCCAGCGGTTCTAAGTTCCTCGCCATCAGAGGGGGTTGGGTGAAACGGTTGTTGAGGAGGACTGGTCCCTCCAGGGACCAGCAGCAGGACTCCGCGGTCCCAGGCAAGACAAGGGTGGCTGAGTGCAACCCTGGCTCTTGCAAAACTTTGTGGCACTGACGGCCGGGGCGGGTCGTGCGGGAGGGAGGAGGGACAGCCGGGAGGGCGGGGCAGCCGTGCCGAGGGGCGGGGTCAGCAGCGAGGCCGCGGGGGCAGCAGCGGCGCGGGGCAGCGGGAGTGGCGGCCGCGCCATGTGGCTGCTGGGGCCGTTGTGCCTGCTGTTGAGCAGCGCCGTGGGTGAGTCGGGGGGCGTGCGGTGAATTTCCTGTGGGGTGCGGGGACAGCAGTCGGGCTGCGATCCGGTCCCCTCCCAGTGCCTGGGCCGCGTCTCCGGGCGTGGGTGTGCGCGGAGGGCGGACCCGGGCGCCGGGCTGGCCGGGACCCTGCGGAGGGGCCGCTGCGGGGTGCGCGCCGTCCTATTGTGTGGGCTTGAGCGCCGGCTGGTGTGCGCGCAGGGCTGGGTTGTGTGTGAGGGGGCTCTGTGTGCGCGCTGGATTGTGTTGTGTGTGTGTGTGTGTGTGTATGCGCGCGGGCGGGGCTTTGTGTGCTGCCCGGCTCTGGGGATCCCTGCAGCTGCCCTATTGGGCGAGTGGATCTCGAGAAAGAGTGTGTCTGTGTCTGTGTGTGTTGGTGGAAGGAGGAGGGAGAAGAAAGTACTCTTCCCTGGTCCCTTCTTCCCAAGCGCCCGGATGTTGCTCCAGCCTTCCTAGGACTCCTTTCCGAGTCTTTTGCATGCACCTTTGTGCCTCAGTTTCTCCACCACAATGGCAGGACAAGTAGCATTGGCGCTTCTTTTCTTTTGCTCCCTGGGACAGTGTTTGGTTTGGGCAAAGTGAGATGAAGCAGACTGGGAATTATTTATCTTCCCCAGTGACCCTGGGAAACAGTCTGCTATGTAAGTCGTCTGACCCCCGCATTCGCCCTACATTGGCTCATGCCGGTCATCCGGAAAGGACCAGGGTGGTGCTTTGCACCTGGCATTATACAGCGTGTGCATCCTCGGGTCCAGCAGAGCAGCAAGCCTGCGTCCCTCTCAGAGAGCGTGCTGTTCCCAGGAACTTTTCTGCTGATGTGGGCACGCACTGAATTCCAGCCTGGAGCCCTGCCTTCACTGCCCCTGCCTGTGTGCCACAGCTGTCAGCTGCCCCTCCTTGCCTGTCCTGCCCTTGGCCCCTGCTGAAGTCCATCTCCCTGATGTTTATTTCAGCACAGCTGATGCCCAAAATGTGGATGACCGGTTACAGTGAGCTTCCTTTAGCAGAAGCCCGCTTACCTGGCGTTTGTACTTGATACTTGATTTTCCCAACTGGACTGTTGAGGTGTTGTTTACTTGGCAAGTTGAGAGTCACTTAATTCAGAGCAGCACCTTGCAGAGATGTGTGCTACCAGGGGAAATCTTTTCACCCACTTACGTTCCAACGGTCCTGGGCATCTTCAGAAACTACTGCCTTGTCTTCCTGGCTCTCAGACCTATGACGTCACCCCCACTCCTCCCAGACTCCATTTAGAAGTCTGTGGCTTTGCTGTGGCTTCCAGTGGTGGGATGAGGGTACAGGCTGCTGTCATTTTTAACCAGATCTGGGTCAGATTGCCCTGTTACTCTAGAACTCCTGGGCCAACCTATGAGCAACTTCTGAGGGGCACTGGTGGTGATGGGTAGGTGAGAATTACGATTCTGAGGCTATTATAACAGGTCACCTTCTAGGGCATCCAAGGCACCAAGATCTGCCTGGAGTCACATACTCAGCTTGCGTATAGGTGATGTGTCCAATGATAATACTCAAGAAGGAAAGGCTGGACGCTGTTTTGTCTGTGTGTGTGTGAACTTTGAGAGCTGCTTGTGGAAAGTCATTTATTTATTGCCTCCCCCAGTTAGTACTAGGTTGCTTCAGTTAAGTCTCCATCTCTGCAAAAATAGTTGGTTATTTAATATAGAACCTGTTTTAGAAAAAGTATAGCCAGAATGCTCATTAGAAATGAGAAGGCAGGAATGCTAGACGTCGTCCCTCATAATTTGGACATATCATCAGGAGAGATTAGTCCCTGGAGAAGGACATCATTCATGCTTGGTAAAGTGGAGAGTCAGTGAAAAAGAGGAAGACCCCCAACAAGATGGATTGGCACAGTGGCAGCAGCAGTGGGCTCAAACAGAGCAATGATTGTGAGGTTAGCACAGGACCAGGTAGTGTTTTGGTCTGTTGTGCATAGGGTCACTATGAGTCGGTACTGACTCGATGACACCTAACAACAACAACATGTACATGTAAAAGACTGTTTTATTCCAGAGTAGTTTTAGTGGGGCTAAGAGAAGGATTGTTGTTGTTAAGTGCTATTGAGTTGGTTCCAACTCATAGCGTCCCTTTATAGGGTTTCCAAGGAGAGACTGGTGAGTTTGAACCCTTGACCCTGCAGCTAGCATTCCAGTGCTTATCCCACAGCACCAGACTGGGACTCTAGCAGAATATAGCAGCTCTTTGTCCTTTTCCCCAAACCTGATTGTCTCAGCTCTCAGTTCTGCCCTATCTGTGATTGGTGAGTCTGTGTGGCTTCCAGCTACCTTTTAGATACTTGCTATTTAGGAACCTCAGAAGGGACCAGTCGCTGGAGAAGGATATCATGTTTGGTAAGGTGGAGGGTCAGAGGAAAAGAGGGAGACCCCCAATGAGATGGATTGGCCAAGTGGCAGCAGCATCGATGGACTCAAGCATGGCAACAGTAGTGAGGTTGGCCCAGGATCAGGCAGTGTTTCCTTCTGCTGTGCGTAAGGTCACTGTGAGTCGGTACCGACTCGATGGCACCTAACAACAACAAGGCAGGTTGGGACATGGAGTCCTGATGGGACTGTGGTTGAACACTTGACTGCTCACTAAAAGATCAGTGGTTCAAATCATCAGCCTCTCTGAGGGGAAAAAAAAAAAAAAAAAAAAAGTGCAGTCTGCTTCTGTAAAGGTTAAACCCCAAGCTAAACCCATTGCTGTTTGATTGATTCCGACTCAGAGCGACCCTGGTGGACATAGTAGAACTGCCCACTTGATGGCAGGCATCTGAGGCAGGCTCTGTGCATTTTCAGGTTCCATTGAACATTAGCCTTTTAGGATGGATTCCACTTGACCCCAAGTGTTGCCAGAAACAGGACAGGTCTTTTTTCCTGACTCAGACTGAGGTGCCCCAGGATCCCACACCAGAGTTAGCCTTGGGGTTTACAGTGGGACTGGAAACTTTACCCTTCTATTCCTTATCCCACACTTCAATCCTCTTCTGGGAAATCGAGAAAAACATGCAATTATAAAAGCCAGCATTTAGGATTTCTGTCTCCATCTGATGGTCTGGGAAGACTGAGCCCTAGTTTGAAAGCCCACTGAAAGCCTACTGACAATCCCAGAGAATTTGTAGAGCTTTGCTATTCAGGAACCTTCTGGGATATGTTTGTGTGTTTTTATCTTTTTCTTTGTGTTTATTGTGTGTTTTAGAGGAGTGAAACATTGATTTGGGCTGTTAGTGTTTTTTAATGCGTACTGTATAAAAGATTCTAGCGGTTGTCTTGTCATCTGATGGCCACCTTTTCTTCCTCTGGTTTGAGACAGTGGTTTAAGTGCACATTTCTGTTAGGTGCTTGGCCTGTGGTTGGTCAATCTTCTCACTTCCTCTTGGACTGATCTTTGCTCAGACTACCTGACATACTCTTTCTGTCTGTGGAAAGGCTTGATTTGTCCCCCATGTGTCCTCCCAGGAGTGTGGGTATTGACCCTTTCTTCTGGAAGGACTCTGTGTAATGGTGTGAGCTGCTTGGTTTGATTTTTATTTTGTAAATGAACTGTGTAGCTAAGTCCAGTCTGGTAGATGAGACTGTGTGTACAGAAGTACAAATAAACATACCTTGTTGCTTTTTGTCTTCAAAGAGATGTGGCTAAGACTCCCTACTGGGGTGTGAGGTGTTTTTTCCTGACAGCCCATGTGGACCATTTACCCATTGTGTGTGTGTATGTGAGGTGAGTGAGGGTGGGATGGTAAATTTGGGACCTTGAAAACTGATGTAGACACTTTTTTTTTTACAAAAGTCAGTTGGGCACCTTGATATTTGGCTTGTATTGTCTATAGTCATCTTCTAAACCACTTGAAGGAATCTGAGGATTAGCAAAGTTTATAGTAAAATAATTTCTTGTTAAACACGTGGCCTGTTAGTGTGGGCAAGGAGAAGAGAGGGCACTCATTTGTGGAGTATATCGGATGGGTGAGATTCTTTGCTCCCTGCTTTAAGCACACGATCTCTTTGCGTATTCCCAAAGATATCATGTGGCAGAAAGCCATTTTACGGGTCTGGGGAGATCCTTACTACCTAAGATGCTGCAATAAGGGTTGGAGTTGAGAATTATTCCTGCCTCCCAAGCCTGGGCTTTTCCCACTGTTTCCAAGCTTCCTTTCTTTTCCTCCCAAATGCTTTTGAGATTTAACTCAGCCAATGGGATTGTTTCCATACTCTCATCCCTTCTTATGCCTCAGGAAAACCTGCTCACTGTGGGATCCTGCCCTGAGCATGCTCAGTGGAGGCACCCTTTTTCTCTGAATGCTATTTCCGAGGAGTTAATGATGTTCCGTTCTGTGCTGTCAAGTGGATTCAGATCACGGTGAGCCTGCAGGACAGAGTAGAACTGCCCTTAGGGTGTCCTAGGCTATCGTCTTTAAAGAGAACCCTGGTTGTACTGTGGTTAAGTGCTGCTAACCAAGCTAAGGTTTGTAGTTCAAACCCAACAGCTGCGTTGAAGGGGAGAAGTAGGGTAATCTGCTTCTGTATCTGTCTTGGAAGCACTATGGGGCAGTTTCTCCTCTGTCACACAGCCACTATAAGTCAGAATCTACTTGGAGACAGTAATTGGTTTTTGTTTTAGGTCTCACAGGAGCAGACCACTAGGTCTTTTTTCCTAAGGAGTTGTAGGTAGGTTCAGACCTCCAACTTTGAGTTAGCAGCTGAACGTGTAACCATTACATCACCAGGGCTCCTTGTTGTCCACAATAAATATACATAAACTAAGTCTCTTTGAGATGGGAGTTTTCAAATAACTTTGACTCTGGTCTTGTTGTCTATATGGTTGCAAACCCATGGTGCTACAAGCTACTATGTGGTTGTTGTTATGTGCCATGGAGTCGGTGCCGACTCATAGAGACCCTGTACAGGGTTTCTGAGGCTGTAAATCTTTAAGGGAGCAGAAAGCCTCATCTTTCTCTCGCAGAACAGCTGG